CCCCCCCCCATCCCTGACACCAACATGGGTGAATGATTTTGAGAGCTGGTAGATTTCTACTTTCACTTGGTTCTCCAATGTTTATTCACACCAACAGTCCCAATCTCCTTCCATTCTGTTCAGGGCTGGATACACGCATCAAGACTATCTCGAAGCTAAGGGACTCCACCTTGCTCAAATGAGTGCCTCCTGCTGCTTCGGGGTGGCTCAGCAACAAGACAGGCAGAGCCATTCCTGGATGGAGGCTGTGGAAATGAGCGGCATTTGCTGGGAAGTTGTCTCTGAGAACAACCCTGAGATTGTACTCCTGGATGTGATCAGACCCACATCAGGTGCAGCACAGGCCAGGTGAGGCCCAGGTTTTGTCCCATTCTTCAAGTTTTTTGTTTTTTTACTTGTGACCTGGGATTCTGGTCTCATTTATTAAACTTTCCAGGAACAGAAATGATTTTTCCACTTTCCCAAACATGTATGTGATTTACATCATTTGACGTTCTTAAGTATGAAACTCCAGCCATCGGAGAGAGATTACTAAAAGCCTGACTTGTTGCTGACGTCACTCACGACTCAGACTGGCAGGTTCCCAAAAGCTGTGTACCTCCTGATCCTCCTTCTGGTAGTAAAAACAACTAAATAGAAAGAAAACTGCTGTGTTTTTCTAGCATTCCAAAACATAAGCAAACGCTGGTTTCACATACACCTGATTTCACATAGTTTGTAACCTGTCCAACTGATGACGATTATGATATGGCTATCACTGATACCACGGGCTCTTCATTATTTCTGCTTTTAAATTCTCTCCTTTTGTCCATATCAAAGAAACTGTTGCTCTCCTTGTTGAACAATCTATCAATCCCATTCATTCTTAGAAAAAGGTTGGGGCTAAGTAGAAATAACTGTCAGTGTATCTGGGGAAAGGGAAGAAGAGTGACAGAGGCCAGTAGGGCCTAGTTTTCCATGTAGAATGGGGATCTAGATTGTTTACATCAACCCCCTTTTCCTGGAGACCATTATTATTATTTTTTAATTATTATTTTTTTAATGCTTATTTATTTTTGACAGAGAGAGAGAGAGAGAGAGAGAGAGACAGAGCATGAGTGGGGGAGGGACAGAGAGAGAGAGAGAGAGAGAGAGAGAGAGAGAGAGAGAGAGACAGACAGACAGATCCGAAGCAGGCTCCGGGCTCCGAGCTGTCAGTACAGAGCCCGACGCGGGGCTCGAACCTACAGACCGCGAGATCATGACCTGAGCCGAAGTCGGACACTCAACCAACTGAGCCACCCAGGAGCCCCTCCTGGAGACCATTAAAAATAGCTCCCAGTTTCCAGAGGCTCAAGTTTCAAAGCTCATTCCTCTAAAATAAAATTAAATGCAATGGTAGGGTTTTCAAGGTAGTCTGACTTTTTAATACAGACTTTATTTATTTGGTACAATACCAGTAATAGCACTAGTGAGATCTCACCAAAATGTGTGACAGTGCTTCTATGAAAAATGCACTTTCAGGGCCAATTTGGGATGTGAGGAATCCGTCCAACATTTCTCCTCTTCCTCCTCCCCATTCAAGTAGGATCAGTTACTTGCTCCAGAGCGGGGAGGGTAGTTATGGGGCAAGTGGGTTGCTCAGGGGCATGATCTCATTCATCTGCTTTCTTTTTTTTCCCCCCAAAGGATCTAAGGATTTATCTACTTTCATAATATTCAGCTCACACTACATATAGCTTCCAAGCTGAGGATTTTTCTCCTATTTTATGGCCAATAGGGAATTTATCTAAAGTTTCCTAAAGGTTTTAAATGCTATTACCAAGAATAATGTCCCCTCACTGGGTGTGGCTTAAAAAAATAATCCTGGGATAGTACTTATAAGTGTACATTAGAAGCTAGAGAAAGTGGGGGCGCCTGGGTGGTTCAGTCAGTTAAGCGTCAGACTCTTGATCTCAGCTCAGGTCTTAATGTTTATTTTTGAGAGAGACAGAAAGCACGAGTCAGGGAGGGGCAGAGACAAAGAGGAAGAGAGAGAATCCCAAGCAGGCTCTGAGCTGTCAGCACAGAGCCTGATGTGGGGCTCGAACACATGAACTGTGAGATTATGACATAAGCCAAAGTCGGGACGCTTAACTGACTGAGCCACCCAGGCGCCCCTCAGCTCAGGTCTTGATCTCAGGGTCATGAGTTCAAGCCCCGTGTTGGGCTCTGCATTGGGCATGAAGCCTGCTTACATAAAAAAAGGAAAAAACAAACAAAAAATCTGGAGAAAAGAAACGCAGGTAAGGCTGTAACTGTTCCCTCCTCCTTCAGTCCTAAGACAAATTCAGCAGGGTCAGCAGGAGGGCAAGTGGACACTAAAGATTACTTCCCATGCCCTATCAGCTGTATCCGAACAATTAACAAACTGAATGTTCTCAAAGCGAAGGTGGTCTCACTGTGACTCACTGGCTCGGAAGTCGTGAGTCTTCTCACGACGGACGACTGGCTCAGCCAGTACCTCTTCTTAACACGTGCTCCACTGTTTCAAGTACTCAACCTTGACAGATGCCCGAGAGAAGCCCCGTGAAGATGTGTGCGTGTGAGAGCGGGCGCACAGGAGTTGAGCGTGTGAACCACGATGAACGCTTATGCGTGCGTGGAGCCCACGGAGGGCGGTACACACACAAAGCAAGAACGGAGAGAACTGCCACATGAAGACGACTGCCCTGTTCACACAAGAAAAGCCAGCCCCATGCTTCTGGATGTACTAGAAGCTGGGACTCCAGAACAAACATTCTAAACCTCTCAGGATGGTCTGAAGAAAAGACTGAGGCCCTCCTAAAATGGCTGTAAGATCAGAGTGGAGCGCGTGTTACCTCACTTCCCACTGGCATTATCAGCTTTATGGTGCCTCCTTCATCCAGAGATGACCACTTTATCTTAAGGGCACAAGCTATAGGATTCTCTGTATACTAAGGAAATACATGAGGCACCGAGTTTCATCTAGAAATGAGAGGAATTTACGGTCAAGCCAGATGGCACACATACACTTTCTCTCAAGGAGGTTTAGGATGAAAAACACCTCCTCTCATTGGAATTCTTTCCTTTTCCACTCCATTTCCATTGTTTATGAGAAGACCCTATTGCCGGAGGCAGCCGACCTGAGCCATACCTCCGCCTGGCACTCATATCCACAGGCTCATCGCTGATGTTTTCTTTGCCTGGCCTTCCAGCAGTCCTGGTGTCGCCGTGAGGCCTGAGATTCCCATTGAGTTTCTCTTCATAGCCCTTGACACCACTGCCATCCTGTTTGGTGGGCAACTCATGTGGCACATCGAGATTCGCCAGATCCTTCCGTTTGAGCAGCGCCAGCATCTTCAGGCGTTCCATGGCCTCGTGCCCCTCCATTTTGAGTCGCTTAGCCAGGACATCGTCTCGCTCATCTGCCGGGTCCAAGCTCCGCTTCAACAGGTTCAGGCGAAGAGCATCTTCTGTCATTCTATCCATCCTGTGGGAAGGAAAATACAAGTGAGATCGGAACACAATCCCTTAAACAGTCCGTAAAGAAAGAGGATGGGTGAGGTCACGATCTCACGGTCCGTGAGTTTGAGCCCCGCGTCAGGCTCTGGACTGATGGCTCGGAGCCTGTTTCCGATTCTGTGTCTCCCTCTCTCTCTGCCCCTCCCCCGTTCATGCTCTGTCTCTCTCTGTCCCAAAAATAAATAAAAAACGTTGAAAAAAAAAATTTAAAAAAAA